CCTGCTTTGTGACCCCATTTGCTAGGGGGTTTTGTTGGAGGTGGTCTTGTGTCCTCCAGAATCATCACTGCATCCTCTGCTGTCTCTCACCTTTGTCCCCCGAGGTCCTGGAGGCCCAGCTTGAGGGTTTGCTTACACATCTCTGCTTCGCTCTATGGCAATGGTGGTGGTGTGGTCATAGCCTCGGCTGCTGACCCAGGGTCAGCTATTGTGAACCTAGATCCTCTCTGCAGGAGGAAGACCTAGCTGTGGTCCCATAAGAACAACAAAAAATCCACTGCCCTCGAGTCCCAGTGACCCTGTGGAACAGAGCAGGACCGCCCGTCAGGTTCTGGGCCTGTGATCTTTGGGTCAGCTGACTGCGTTACCTTCTCCCCGGAGCTGCTGTTGGATTCTGGCTGCTGACCTTTGGGCTACTGGCCAGACACGTTGTCACTGTACCACCAGGGCAGAATCAGGATCTTCAGCCTTGGGACAGAGGGCCTCTGAGCGGCCATTCCTGGCCATGGGGACCATGGTCCTCTCCCAGGGAGCTCCCTGGGGCCCTTCCACAGACACCCCGCTCCACACTCTCGGTGTGTCCACTGCACTAGACCTCTCCACAGTGGGCTGTTTGTGCTTCTGCTACAACTAATGTCACTGATGGACACTGTATGTGGCATTATGCCCAGGGGACACTCTCAGGTGAACAGCTGGTCTCTGCCTGGACTCTAGTTTGTTTTTTTGGTTTTTTTTAGATTTTAATGAAGATTTATCGAGAATTTGGATTTCCATTCATTGATTATTGCACATTTTCCTCCCTGCCCACCCCACCCCAATTAGCTTTTCTCTTTGAAAAAAAAAATATTTCATTGTTGTACAATCCCCTCTCCCCATCCACTTTACTATGCAGCTCTTAACTCTAGACTGTTGTGCAAATAATACCTAATCATATATTCCTTTTAAGCAGTTCTCTCCCATATCTGTTTCAATGCCATGTGCATTATTTATCCCCTCTTTTCTTAGGTTACTCCAACCTTGATGTCACCTCTGTTTTACAACAGTGGCACTAGGCAATATTTGTCCTTTTGTGACTGAGATATTTCACTCAGCATAATGTCCTCCATGGTCATCCACTTTGAATAATATTGCATGAGCTCCTTGTTTTTCAATGTAGCATAGTATTCCATTGTATGAATATACCACAGCTTCTCTAACTATTCATTTGTTGAAGGACATTTGGATTGTTTCCATCTCTGCTATTGTGAACAATGCAGCAATAAACAAGGGTGTACATGTATCTGCTTGGGTGGCAGTTATGGTCTCTTTGGGGTATATTCCCAGTAGTGGAATTGCTGGGTCAAATGGTGTTTCTATTATTTCCAACTTTTTGAGAGAGCACCATACTTTACTGCCTTCCAGAGTGGTTGCACCATTTTACAGTCCCACTAACAGTAAATAAAGGTTCCAGTTTCTCCACAACCTCCCCAGCATTTGTTGTTTGCTCTCTGTTTAATTTTGCTGTTCTTACAGTAGGGCTGAGATGATATTTCGTAGTTGTTTTGATTTGCATCTTCCTTAGAGTTACGGATTTTGAACATTTCTTCATGTGCTTGTTGGCCATCTGAATGTCTTCTCTGGTGAAGTGTCTGTTCATATCCTGTGCCCATTTTTCAGGTGGGTTGCTTACCTTTATCTTGTTTTGGTGCTCGAGTATTCTATGAATTCTAGATGTAAGTCTCTTATCAGACAGTGTCATTACCAAATATTCTTTCCCAGTCTGTGGCTTCCCTTTTTACCTTTTTTTTAAAATTTTATTATTTTTTTGTACGTGTACCATCAAATCGGATCTGATTGGTACTGGAGGAGATTGCCCCTCCTTCTCAAGCAGAGCATCTGGTGGATTCGAACCGCGCACCTCTGGGATTGCAGTGCAGTTTCTTGCCGCTAGGCCACCAGAGCTCCCTTTGGAGAAGTTTTTTGATGGATTTGATTCTTAGAAGGTCCCATTCATTTATTTTATTCTCTCCTGGTTGTAGGTTTTTGAGGATGCTTGGAAGACTGTTTATGTTGTGGATTAGTGCTTCTAGAGTTCTTCCAAGCTTTTCTTTAATGAAGTTTATAGTCCTTGGTTTCAGTCCGAGGTCCTTGATCTGCTTTGAGTTGGGTTTTGTGTATGGTTTGAGGTGTGGATCTTGCTTGAGTTTTCTGCAGATAGTTTTCCAATTTTGCCAATAACATTTGTTAAAGTATTCTTTAAACTTTGGTTATGAGACCCTTTTCTGAAATGTCACTGCCAAAACGTTCTCTTTTCCAAATCTGTGGGCTTTTTTATGGGGACTTAATATTATGTGTTCATGATAGGAATAGAAAGAACAATGGTAATTATATAAAATATAATGTATGTTGTACATAGGGTTGCTATGAGTCACAGGTGACTCGACGGCACACAACAACAACAATAACAACAACAACATATGAATGTGTAAAACTCAAAGTATATGTACAAAACATGATGTATATGAATGATTATAGGAAAATCAATAAAAAAATTTTTAAATGTGAAAAAAGGCTGTAATTTCCCCACTTAAATGATTTAATCTCCTTGCCAAAAATCAGTTGACCATAAGTAGATGGGCTGATTTCCAGGTTCTCGATTCTATTGCATTGAGCTATGTGTCTGTCTTTGTACCAGTACCATGATGTCTTGACCACCATGGCAGTGCAGTAATATTTTATATCAGGGAGTGAGATGCCTCCTACCTTGTTTCTTTTTTGAAGGAGTGCTTTGCTTATTCAGGGTCTACTTCTATTCCAGATGAAATTGGAAATTGCCTTTTCCATCTTGTTGAGGAATGGGATTGGTATTTATATTGGGATTGCATTGAAAGTGTGGATTACCTTTGGTAGAATTGTCATTTTCATAATATTGAGTCTTCCTATCCAAGAACATTGTATATTCTTCCATTTCTCCAGATCTTTTTTTGTTTCTTGTAGTAATATTTTGTCATTTTCTTTGAATAGGTCCTTTGTGTTTCTAGTTAAATTTATTCCCAAGTATTTAATCCTGTGATTAGCTATTGTGATGGGTATTGTTTTTCTTAGTTCCAGTTCTATATTCTCTTTGTCACTGTAAGAGAAACCGAATTGATTTTTGTATGTTGATCTTGTATCCTGCCACTTTGCTGAGTTGGTCAACAATGTCTAGTAGTTTTTTTCTTGCTGAATCTTTAGCTTGGACTCTTAAGGAGTAAGGCTTCTAAGAACTTTCTCATATAAGCTTTTTAAAAAACCATTTCCTCATTTTTATTGTGTTTTGAATGAAAGTTTGAACGAACTGTTTTTTTCTGTGCACATTTGCTCCATGACGTCAGCCAGGACAACCACATGACCACACCCCTGGTCGCTCCCTGTGAGTCTCCTGTCCCTTCCTGCCTCTGAGCATTGTCCCTGGCAATGCTGCCCTCTTTGTCATGGGCACCTGACTGTTTGGAATGTCTGCTGTACCTGTCCACTTAGGGGTTGATCAGTCAGCCGAAAGTTGAGGCATGGGACGTGCTGTTCCAGGCTTGAAGAGGGGCCAAGGATCATAATATTGAGGTCCCACCATTCTGTCTCAGACCCCGAGCCTGGCCAGCTTTTTGCTTTTGCACTTTTCTCTGTGTTTTCGTGCCTGCTCTGTCCAGGGCCTCCTTGCGCAGCGGTCAGCAGGGGTAATGAGATGATTGGGGTCTTCTGTCTCAGGGCTGTGGAGTTTACGCGGCCGCTCGCTCTGGGGACTGACTGCTCTCCTGCTGCCTTGGAGGCTAGTTTCCGTTGTCCTTGCGTGAATACTCCCCCCGGTGGGATGGCTGAGCTTCTGGAGCACAGTGCGTGGTTCTTTCTGGGAACCCTCAGGGGTAGGGTTGCTGAGCAGCGGGAGGGGCACATGCTGCATTTTCACAGAACAGCCAGCCTTTCCCGGGACAGTGTCTGAGCATTCCAGTACCGCTTCCTCTTCACCAATATTTGATGTTGTCTGTTCTTTGTTCACCATGTACCTGCTCTTATTTTTGCTAAAAAATGAGACAAAAGTAATTCACTGTTTCTGAATGTATACTTCAGTGCATCTGCTGTATTAGCAGTCATGCACCTGTCCCCTCTGACTGGTTCCAGGCCATGTCCACCACTTGGCAGGAACCCATGTACTAATGGCCCTCTCTCTACTCCCACCCCAGCCCTGGCCGTCACAGCCCTGAGCCCTCACAGCCTCCTGGCTCTCTGTGTTGACCCTCTCCTGGAATTGCAGGAGTACTGTACGGTGCCACACTGTCTGCCCCTGTGTGCCTGGCTCCTTGCACTCAGTGGTGTCTCCCGCTGTCATCGTTCAGGGGCGTGTTGGCTGAGGATGCTCCCCTGTGTGGGTGGACCACACTGAGTGTGTCCGTTGGCCCCCTGATGGACACTTGCACTCTTGTTGCTGTTGGGCTCCTGACACTGGGGCTGTGAGTGTTGGTGCTCACGTCTCCAGTAAACCTATTCTCTGTTCTCCTGGCCATCTCCTAGGAGTGGACCTGGCTCACGTGGTGAGTCTGTGTCTGACCTTTGAGGACCCTCTCTTGCTTGCACTTCTCTCTGCACTGTCCATCTAGAAAGTCTTATGGGTGGGCTTGGGTATCTGAATCTGTAACTCTCAGCCTCCTTACCCACCCAACCAACCCATGACTGACCAGTGAGGCCCTGGTGGTGCTGGTGTGTTGGTGGACAGAACAAGAGGAATAGGGCACTGTCTGTATGCTGCCTGTCTTCTCCCACAATGCAACTCAGCCCACTGTCCAGAGAAGCCAACACCATGAATCCCCTCCCACTGCCCAGAGCAGGCCAGCACTGTGGACCCCTTTCACTGCACAGAGGCCAACACCATGACCCTTCCCACTGCCCAGAGAGGCAAGCACCATGGACCCCCTCCCACTGCCCAGAGAGGCCAGCACCGTGGACCCTCCTCCATTGCTGAGAAAACATGTTCCCCCATCTCATTGCAGCTGCCCCAGTGGACTCGAGTGAGCTCCAGGAACTGTTCCAGGTGGCATCAGCTGGTGTCTTCCGCATCAACGCCAATGGTGAGTCTGTGCCAGACGTGGGGATGCCGGGGGGTCAAGGGCACTGGCAGGGATCTTGCCCTGTGTTCGGGACCCAGGAGTTGGAAAGACAGGAGAAATCTGGCGCACCTGCTGCAGGCTGATGTCCCTCCTGCTCTTGTCCCGTGTTCTCTGGCTCTCCTGCCCCATCTCTGTCTCCTGTCTTAACTTCTGTCCTCTGGCTGTCCCACCTCAACTCCTGTTCGTGTCCTCCCTACACTGTATCCTCTGTCCTCAGCTCACTCTCCTGTCCACTGGCCCATGATCCTTCCGTCCTGCCCTATGTCCTCCAGTTCTGCCATCCCAACTCCTGTCCCCATGTCCCACCAGCACGGTGTCCCGTGTCCTCAGCTCCCTTGCCGCCTTATACCTCTTCCTCTTCTCTTGAGCAGTGACCTCTTTGGAGAGGAACCTCCGGTCTCTGGGGACTCCGAGTGACACCCAGGAGCTGCGGGACACCCTGTGAGTACGTTGGGCCGGCTGTGTGTCTGCTGCGTGCCTCACGGGGCCTGCACAGATGAGGCCTGAGCACGCTTACACGTGGGCACGCTCACAGTCAGGCGCCCCTCACATCTGGGTACCTTTGCACACCTGTGCACCCCAGCACACCCCCTCACACACCTGGGAGTTCTCACACACCTGTGCACCCTGGCTCATCCTCACATACCGGGAGTCCTCACACACCTGGGAACCTTGGCACACCCTCACACACCTGGGCATCCTCACACACCTATGCACCCTGGCACACCCTCACACACCTGGGTTTCCATATGTGCACTCACCCACACCTCCCTGACCGCGCAGGGCCTCACACACCTGTGGAAGGCTGGTCCTTTCTGGGGGCTCTGTGGATGGTGCAGGCTTGTGTCCTCCACACGCCAGTGATTGGCTGGGCCTGCACGCACCTGGGAGGTGGGGAAGGTGTCTGCTGCCTGTAGCCAGCTACAGGTCTTGGAATGCATAGGGTCTGGGGGACTGTGTGGTCTGCTCTTGGGACTGCAGTTCAGTCCCAGGGGGGCAGTGCCTCAGATGAGCCGAGTGGAGGAAGGCCAATACCACTATGGGGCCAGGTCTGCAAGAGTTTGCCCCTCAAATGGGTGGGTTTGTGGGAATGCTTGGATGAGGTGGTCTTAGGGGTCAGGGGCTGCACCTCCACTGGTGGTCCTAAGACAGGACAGCAGCAGCCTCCTCTCAGAGTTTGATCCAGCCTTCCTGGGAGATGGTATATGTGTCAGGACAAGGTTGGGTCAGTGCCAGTGCTGTCCAGACCCCTTTCTGCATCCGCTCTCACACAACCTGCCAACCGGCTGGACCTGACAGGGAGTGGCCCTAGACCCCTTCCTGGGATCCACACCCTCATGAGGCCTGCCCACGGAGCTGGACCTGACAGGGAGTGGCCCTGGCAGTGTGATACCAGGGAGCTCGAGAGCTGACGTACGGTGTGTCCTGGTCCAGGCCATAACCCTTTGTCCTTCCCTTCTCTGTGACACTGCCTAATCAGGATGCCGGTGCTACTAGGGCTGCAGAAGGGCTCTCCCACCATGCCCTCCACCCCACTATGTGCCAGACTTCCCTTCAGGCCCCTGCCCCTTTCCCAGGCATCCCTCGTCCTTCCAGTGACTGTGTGCTCGGCCAGGGCCTCCGCCTTGGGCACAGGGCTGCACATCTCAGTGCTGCATTAGCTGTGACTGTTCTTTGCATCTTCTTTTTTTTAATAACATTTTAAAAATTTGTTATTATTAATTTTAATGAAAATTTACAAAGACTTTGGATTTCCATTCATTCATTGTTGCACTTTTCTCCCTGCTCACCCATCCCCTCCAGTTCACTCTTCTCTTTGAAAAGTAAAAGAAAAATTCTTTCATTGTTTTACAATCCCTCCCCCCAGGTCCACTCCACTGGGCAGCCTTTGCTCTGGACTTCTGTCATGACAGTAATACCGAATCACATATCCCTTTTAAACAGTTCTCTCTCTCTCTATCTGTTTCAATGCAGTATACATAATTTATCCCATCTTTCTCAGTCTCCCCCAATCCTGATATCAGTCCTGTTTTAAAACAGAGGCACCATGCAGTATTTGTCCTTTTGTGTCTGAGATATTTCACTCAGCATGATGTCCTCCGGGGCCTTTGCTTCTTAAGTGGGATTTATTTTTCCACCAGGGCACCTGTGTGCACAGGGGAGGTGTGGCTGTGAGAGGTGTCTGCGGTGTCCCCTGGGCTTCTCTGTTCCCTCAGGCCCCAGTGGGCCTCCCCTGGACCTGCGTCCACATGGCATCTTGTGACCTCAGAGAACTTTTCTGAAAACAGCCTAAAAGCAATTTAACCAGGGCCAGCAGCATCTCAGCACCTTTCCAGTGTGCACAACTTTTGCACAGAGTTCTAGAATGTTCCTTGGCCAAGTCTTCATGTAACTGTGAGCTCTGAACCTGTGTGTCCCATGGGTCGAGCAGGCTGTTTTGGGGACCTAGTGTGCCTGTGGGAGTCTTGCTCTCTCTGTTAGGTGAAGGGGTGGCATCTTCACAAGTGAGCGGGGCGACAGCTGACCCCAAGGGTGGAGTAGCAGAGGGCCTGGCCCAAGGAGGGAGCACCCCCGTCTCCCCAGGTTCAGGTTCTGCAACTCTGGATTGAGCCTGCCCGCCCCCACTTGGAACCTGGGCCCTGGTGGTGCTTTCAGGCCTGTGAGCGGGAGTTGTGCAGAGGTACACAGCAACAGTTAACCTAATTGCTGGCAGTTCAAACCCAACCAAGATACCTTTGGAGAACTGCCAAGTGGTCAGCTTCTGTTAAGTCCAAGAAAACCTTGATCCTCTGCCCCTCATGCGGTCACTATGAGGTGGTGGCTTTTCACAGGACAGCCACTTGCCACTGTGCAGTGACCTGCATGGCTCAGCATGGCTGGCTGGACTCCCATTTGTGGACTTGTACACCTCAGTGTGACGTTAGGGGCCCACGGGCCTGCCAGCTCTGCTTTCCCTGTTGACGGGAGCTCCCGAGGAGGACGCAGAAAGGCAGAGTCTCCGCCTGCTGTCTGCTCTCTCCTTGTTTAGAGTGAAGATGACTCGGACTTGTACCCGGGGAAGAGCGCCTTGGGAGAGGCTTTGTGGATTCTGTTTTATGAGACGCTTGCTGGGCCAGGCCCGAGTTTTGCCATCAGGCTCCGGTCAGGCGAGAGCATGGCCAGGGCTGCCCGTCTGGGGACAACCCTTAGCATGTGGATGGGTCTGTGAGCAGCGTCCCTGCCCGCAGCCACTGAGGATGCTGTCACTGACCAGGAGACAGCGTTCTAGAAGCTTCCAGGTTTGGGGCCTGGTGTGACCACCAGTGTATCAGGAGCCTACCTGTGGGCTGCCTGTGCGGGAAGAAGGCAGCCAGAGATCACGTGTCATTTACCTGCAGGATGGACCACGCTGCCATGGAATCCCAGGGACTCCGCGCAGCCTGCATGCACATGAGTGGAGGATTCTTCCACCCACTCAGAGTCCACTTCCTGCCCAGAGCCTGGGTGGGTGGGGGCGGAGGGCAGACACAGGCTTCCTGACCGCTAGGCCCTTCGAAGCCCGAGTGCAGGAACAGGACAGGCTGGCCAGTCACTGTGACAGCCAGTGAGTGGTGGTAAGAGGGCAACCGCAGGCCCCCGCACATCCGGCCAGCCTTTGCAGACCCTCCGTCTGGTATTCTGTGGTTCCTGCCATGGTGACCACTGCTGCCCTGCTCTTCCGGTGGAGATCTTCGTTGCTATGGGAACAGCATCATCTCCAAGAGTGGTGCTTTCTGCACCCCAGAATGGGTGGGTGGTGTCCCCGGTCGTCATGCCCTCGTCTCAAGCTCCCTCCTCCATGTGTCCTTGGCAGGCTTGTCCATCCGTCTGCCCCACTCCAGCCCTTTCCCTGCATCACCCTTCCTTCCTCATCCGGCCAGTCATGGGAGAGGGCACCATTGCTTCCTGTGCAGGATGACAGCTGTGTGTCAGAGCCCTGCACAGGCCACCAGGGGGCTTGGGGACAGACCCACTTAAAGTTGCTGTCCACCCACAGCACTGCCGGGGGGAAGGAGACCAGGGTTGGCGGTCCGTACAGTATGTCCTCTGTCCCTTAGCTGTATGCTGCTAGAACCAGGGCCGGCTTGGGAGTGGACGAGGGGCGGTCACGAGGCTGGGGATCAGGGTGACCTGATGTTAGGCAGGGAAAAGGTTCTGGAGCAAGGACCTTGTCCAGGGAGGTCATACCAGCACTGTCAGGAGGAAAGGTCTGACCACCCCCAAGGACAGCCAGCCCCTGCCTGTAGGGGTTGGGCGTGACTCGGGCCAGGCTGTGTGCCCCTTCGGTTTTCAGAACCCTCATCTGTGAGCTTGAACCTGCTGGGCTCACGCACTGGGGGCAGACTCGGGCCGAGGCGTGCTGGGCACTGCAGGAATGACTAGATGGAGAGCGAGAAGCGGGCCTTGGGGGCCGAGCTCTCTCGACTGAGCCCCTTTGCCCAAGCCAGGAAGAAGCACAGGTGGTATTTCCTCCACATGTGGTGAAGCTTGTGGGGACTGGAGGTGCCCTTAGAACTCCTGCATACCCCACGGAGCCACTTGGAAGAAGAGAATGTGACCTGGCAGGTGGGGGAGAAGCAAGAGCGCTTTAACCTCTGCCTCCTTCACCACACTCTGGGCCTTCTTCCCCAGGCCCTGCCCTCAGGACACACCTCCTCGAGCAGGGCAGGTCTTGTAACATGGGATCAGGGAGTACTGGACCTCCCTAGCTCTGGGAGCAGAAGGGCATATGTCCAGCTGAAGATGACAACAGACTCCCCATGGAATATCCTGATCTGAGTTGATTGTACCCACCATGGCTAGGCTCCCAGTGCTAGATCTGCAGTTAGAACTGAGGTGCAGATGAGATGAAAACACCTCTCACGATGTTAATCCTGCGCTGGCCCCAGTGTAGTGGCTCTGACAGGGTAAGTCCACTGACAGCTGCCCACGGCAGAAGAGTCCCAGAGCCCTGCTTTCTCCGACAGAGCTGCACGTCTCCATGCTCTCTCCGTGAAGCCACAGACCTCAGCTGCATGCTTGGATCCCAGCTGTTAGCCTTCCTGCAGCGAGCCCATCACCTGGGCCCCTTGGGTGCCACCTCAGGCTAGAGACGTAGGGGCTGGTCAGGAGGGGGCTGGCCAGGAGGGGCCTGGCTCACCTAACTCAGCTGCCTCTCTAGACATGCTGAGGACCCCTTCGCCAGCTCTACTCTCCTGGCACTGCCCCACCTTCCCTGTGCTGCCTCATCTACGGCCCCACCTTCTCTGCTATAGCCCTTCCCACAGCCCCGTTCTCCCTGCCCTGGCCCCGCCCACAGACCGACCCTTCAGCTCTGGCTCCGCCCACAACAAACCCTCCCTGCTCTGGCCACGCCCATAACCCTGCCCTCCTGCTCTAGCCCCGCCCACAGCCTCAACCTCCCCACACCGCTTCCCTTCCTGCTCTGGATCCGCCCACAGCTCCACCCTCCCTGCTCTAGCCCCGCCCACAGCCTCAACCTCCCCACACCGCTTCCCTTCCTGCTCTGGACCCGCCCACAGCTCCACCCTCCCTGCTCTAGCCCCGCCCACAGCCTCAACCTCCCCACACCGCTTCCCTTCCTGCTCTGGACCCGCCCACAGCTCCACCCTCCCTGCTCTAGCCCCGCCCACAGCCCTACCTTCTCTGCTCTAGCCCCACCCTCCCTACTCTGACCCTGCCTATAGCCACCACACCTGGCTGTAGCCCCGCCCACAGCCCCACCTTTTCTGCTCACTCCATCCCTAGCACACCCTCTTGTGGTTCCATCCACAGCCCCACCTCTGTGTTGACTGTACCCTCAAGCCCCACTTTCTGTGTGCTGGCCTCACTCACAGCCTCGCCCTCCCAGCTCGGGCTGCTCCCACAGCTCCCACGTCTCTACTCTGTCCTACAGCCCCATTCCCAGCACCAACTCTTGGTTCTGGCTCCCCCCTAGCTCCTGTCACCCCCTCCTCAACCCCAAGCATACCTCAGCTTCTCCAGGGCCCCAAAGAGTGTGAAACTCATCTCTGGCTTTTGAGGGGAGGAAAGCTTGGCTCATCCTGAGGCCAGTCGGACCTCGCTGTGAGAGCAAGACCTGTGGAGATGCTGTTTCCCTGGAATTGGGGGCTCAGGTCAGCTGGATACAGTGGGGAACCGGCTGCCAGCACCACAATTGTCCCCACCCCCTATGGCCATCTTTCTCAGAATGTGGTCAAGGAGGGGCTTTAAGTGAGCTGACTGTCTCATGTCAGACTGGGAGTGAACGACCTTGGTAGGATTTTAACTCGGGTGTAGTAGCTAAGTACTCTGTGGTACTGCAAGATGGGGAGTGCTGCCAGGTGGGGAGTGCTGCTGCCTCTTTTGTTTCTGGAATTGGTGCTGCTTAGCGCACACGTTCTTAGTGAAACTATTCTCGAGTCTCTGCTGTGGAGTTTCCTCTTGGAAGTTTTAAGACTTACAACTCAGATGTCTTTAATAGAATCTGAACTGTTTAGATTATTTTTGTTCTAATGTTTTTCAGGGAATGTTACCCGAGTGGCCAGTGCTAAGTTATATTACTGCTTCCTGGACTTTGCAGTTCTCTGAGTAGCCTCGTTTCACATAGCCCTGTCACGTATAGAACAAGGGCCTTGCCACAACTTTGTGGGCTGTCGATGACATATATTTTTCTTTTATATGTGCTAACACTCTTGGCACCAGTAGCCAGGAAATTAAAAGACGTATTGCCATGGGAAAGTCAGCTGTTAGGGACCTCTCCAAAGTACTGAAGAGCAGCGGTGTCTCTCTGGAGACTAAGGTGCTTCTGATACAGACCATGGTCTTTGCTATCACTTGTTTGCATCAGAGAGCTGGACAATGACCAAGGAGGATAGAAGGAGAATTGATGCCTTTGAGCTGTGGTGCTGGAGAAGAGTATTGAGAATACCATGGACCACTAGGAAAACAAACAGATTTGTCCTGGAAAGGGTTAAACCAGGCTGCTCCTTGGAGACCAGGATTCTGAGGCTTCATCTAACATACTTTGGACATGTTGTTAAGGAGGGACAGGTCCTTGGAGAAGGACATCATGCTTGGTAGGGTGGAGATACAGCACAGGAGGGGAAGATGCTCTATGAGGTGGATTGACTCAGTGACTGGGGTAATTGGAATGAGTGGTCAGAAACAGTGCAGTTGGCACAGGACAGAGCAGAGTTTACGGCTGCTGTACATTGGGTCGCTATGAGTCACAAGCGACAACAACATGTGCTAACAACCCATGGTACTGTTAATATGTTTGCTTTTAATAGTTAACTACTTTTTAGAGTGAATGACAGACTTTTTAAAAATTTTAATCTGATTAATTTCTGAAAGATTTTGCTAAAAGATGAATTAATTGCATTAGGTAAATCTGCTGTGAGGGACCTTTCCAGAGTACTGAGAAGCATTGATGTCATTCTAGAGACTAAGGTGTAGCAGATCCAGCCCACGGTCTTTACAATTACTTGCTATGCATCAGAGAGCTAGACAGTGACTAAGGATGACACAGGAAGAATTGATCCCTTTGATTTGTGGTGCTGGAGAAGAGTCTTGAACATACCGTGGACTACCAGGAAAACAAATAACTCTGTCTTGGAGAGGGTGAAGCCAAGTATCTCCTTGGAGGCTGGGATTTTGAAGCTCTGTCTCACCTAATTTGTTCATGTGGACATAAAGAGACCAATCCTTGGAAAAGGACATCATGCTCAGAATAGTGGAGGGACAGCACAGGAGAGGAAGACCCTGATGAGATGGATTTATACAGTGACTGGGGCAATGGGGGTACGTGTGTTAAAGTCAGTGAAGGGCTTCAGAGTTGCTGTACATAAGGTCACTATGGGTCACAGGCAACTCCTACAGCATATAACAACCACAGCAACAATAGCCTAGTTAACACTTTCTATGCAGAGGTTTGCTGATAACACATGATCTTTGAATTTTTCAGACTTGACATAGAAGTCTCTCTGAAGTGCTTGTTTTGAAATAACGTCTTTATTGTGCTTTGACTTCTGGGTTCACAGCTTTGTGAGCACCTTAAGGATACCTTTCCGTTTTTCCTGGCTTGCATAGTTCCTCATGAGAAGTCCGCTGTCATTATTGTTCCTCATATGGTATTTCTTTATCTTTCATATTTAGCCATTGGAATATGTCTTGCTTAAATATATGATTCTAACTGTTGCCTCTTGCACATGCAGAGGCTGGACAATGAATAAGGAGACAGAGTTGATGCATTCAAGTTGCCATGTTGCAGGGTATTAAATACAACATGGACTGTAGGAAGATTAGACTTACCTGTGTTGAAAGGAGTAGAGCCGGAATATGCTTAGATGTGGACATGGTAAGACTTGGCCTCGTGTTCCTTGTTCATGTTCTCAGAAAGGACCCCTGGTCTTTGGAGAAGGACATCGTGCTTGTTGAAGTGGAGGTCAATGAGAAAGAGGAGAACCTTCATAAGATAGGTGGGCACAGTGACTGTGATGATGAGTTCAAGTGCAGCGTTGATGGCTAGGCTGGTACAGGTCTGGGCAGGGTTGGCGCTGTCGTGCGTGGGTCACCCGGTCAGGATCAGTGACATTAAACAGTGAAGCCCAGTGTTTGTGTGGTTCTCTGCCCTTCACTTATCTGGGTTTTGTTGAACTTCTTTGTTCCATGAGTTTATTCTTCTCATCAAATTTGGGGGAGCCATGGTCACTGTTTCTTTATAGCCTCTGTTACCACCTGCCTGCCCTCTTGCTGTGTCCAAGCAGGGAGCTGGTCTCAGGCCCTTGGGGACTGGACTTCTGGAAGTCCTCACACACCTGACGGTGCTTGTCCCTGTCCGTCCTGACTTGTTAAGGGACACCTTGGTCCCTGCCTGGAAGCTGAGGGCTCCATGTGTCCTCTGTATCCCCCAGTGCCACCCTCACCCACTCCTCATGTCCCACAGTGTTCTGCTCTGCTGTGCCCATCAGGGCCCAGGCCTCCTTTGCCCCCAGGTCACCTGTGTTGGGTGGGTGGTGTGGGAGGGGAGGTGCGGGGGCCCTTTTGGGGCTGGAAATCCACTTTTCAGTGAGACTCACCGCTGTCCTCTCTCTCCTTCTCACTCTGCTTCCTCCCCCTGCTGTGACCCTGTCTGTCTGTCTGTCCGTCCTCCTGTCTCTCTGTGGGCTTTCCTCTGTCAATGTCTTTTCACTTTCTTCTCCCTGCCCCCTGGCCTCTCTGGCTCCGTCCCACTGGAGTCCACTCCTCCTTGGCCTCTCTGTCCTCTCCACTTCCTTTTCTCCTGTGTCTGTGGTCCATCTGCACATCTCCCTGTGGCCCCTCTGGTCATGTTGTTGTCACCCACAGGCACACAGTGCAGCAGGAGACCAATGCCACCATCACAGCCAGCACTGGCGCCATGAAGCAGCTGTCGGAGCTCCTGCGAGGCTCTTCCCGGGTATGTCTCCTGAAGAGCGGGGTGCAGCCAGGGAGGGGCACAGAGCCTGGGCTGAGGGCTGGCAGGGACGGTGCTGGAGACTGAGGGCACCGGAACGTCGTGTTCTGGGCCCAGACACAGCTGACAGCACACCTGAGTCCAAGACCCAAGGGTGTAGTGGCTGTGCTCGGCCGCTGGACGACTCCACAGGACTCAGCCAGCACAGGCCCTGGGAGAGGCCAGCACTGGCCTGTGCTGAGCTCGGTAGGGGTTCATCTCAGGGTGGTCGTGCCCTGTTCTCAACACAGTGGCCCAGCGGGGCTTCTGGACGGTGTTTCTCCTGGGGAGCTGCTGCTGGGACCCCCCTCCAGCCTTTCAGTCTGCTGACTGCATAGCAGGGGGTCCGTCAGGCCTTCTTAGGGAGAGAGGAGGAGGCATGAGGCCAGGGTTGGCAGGCCGTCAGGGTTCGTGGGCAGAGCCTTACCCCAGATTAGGACGAGGTGTGACTCCAGAGGGCCTGACGGGGCACAAGTAGTGTAGCCCAAGCACAGGCTTTGCTGGTGAGGTTCATTGCTTATCAGTGCAGCCTCACGTGCTGGACGTGGTCAGGGGCCTGCACTCTGGTCTCAGTGACCTGGCTCAGACCCTTATGCCGTCGCCTGTGTGACTTTGAACAAGCTCTTCAAACTGGAGGCCACGTCTGCTGAACTGCACAAGGAGCTGGTACTGTTGTTGTTAGGTGCTGTCAGGGTGGGCGTGGCTTATAGTGACCCTGTGAACAACGGACCTGAACTCTGTCCTGTTCCGTCCTCAGCAGCTACTGCACGCTTGATGCGTGTGTGCAGTGGGGGTGACGGCGTCTGTGGTGACCTGTGTGCAGTGGGGGTGACGGAGTCCGTGGTGACCTGTGTGCAGTGGGGGTGACGGTGTCCA